GGGCTAGTACAGTGGTAACGTGTCGGCCTCTCATCTGAGGGGTCGGCGGTTCGCGACCGCCCCGGCGCGAGAAGTTGCAATTGTCGCCTAGAGGTTACTGCTGTGGCTAGGCACCACGGTGGGTAAGGACTAAGCTCATCCGAGTCGGCACCAGCTGACACACTGTTAGCAAGTCGACATTAGTCGGCACAGGCCGGGCTCCCCTCATAGCCTGGGCGAGACTCAGCTTCGCATATCGGACTTATCCTTATCCTTACCTTGATATTGCCCAGAATTGCTCCAAAGTGACTTTGGACAGTAGCTCTACCCAGTATCCAATCCATACAAGTGTTGAAAAGTGTTGGTGCAAGAACACAGCCTTGCCTCACACTTGAACTAACAGGAAAGAAGCTCGACACCACACTTTACAGCACTTTCAGTGCCTGTATACAGGTTTGCTATTAATTCAACAATCCTAGTTGGCTATTCTTGCGGCCAGCAACAGCTCCTGAGTGATGAGGACCGACTGACATCTCGTAGCCAGCTCGATCGCAACCGGATACCACATTGAAGTCACCCAGAACAATACAAATATCTCGCCGAGGACAGCTGTCTGTCACATGCAAGTTTGGCATGAAACATCTCTTTCACCTCAAGTTTATATACATTTGTAGGAGCGTACACAGCAATAAGAAACATGAAGCCAAATGAAAGCTTCAGTCTCTACACTGGTCCCAGTGGTCGCCAACCCAGAGGGACCCACAGCCCGCCGTTCTTGCTGGGTGGGAGGGATTTTAGCCCACCCCTCAGCACCAACAAGTATATGTTTTGCTGCCAGTAGGTTATCTCAGCCGCCCATTAACCCCAGGGGGCACTGGGGCAGGAGTTAGTACAAAGCTAGGGCGTATCCACACACTGGTGGGCCATGGCTCCGTACCTTTAAGATCTCATGCTGCTCCAAGAGCCTCGACAGTTCAGCCTAGGACCGCAAGGTACCTAGTTTCCATGGGTGGCCACGGGGAGGCACTACAGAAGTCTTGATGATGGAGAGGCCATGAGTTGGTTGGGGAGTCTTATGCAAAACTGCTCCCTTTTCGCACCAGGCTAGCCAGCGGTGGCAGCTGGAAGCGAAGCGCTTAACACTATCTAGGCTACCACACCATCGCTTCACATCACCCCGAGCATAAAACACCCATCCACATCCACGTCTCACATTATTTGATTAATTACGCATCGTTTCTTGATACAAATATTCATGGAAAATTTATGTTAAATATTTTTGTGCCTTTTTAGCAGTACATCAAATACATTTGATACACTCGATATGGGTAAAATTTGGAGTCAATCATGGCGGACGCTGGAATGACATTTTCTACATGTCCGAGTCATTTCACGTCGTATTGACTTCGGTGGGATAAATGTACTCAAAATCATTTACCTCTATGAGATAATTTTACAGGTTCAAAAATATCAGAAAAAAGACAAAAGAATGACCTACATGTCTGATTAGGACGCGGAGCTCATTCACACTGGATACAATAAGATGCAAATAACATTTCTCTTTAGTAGACGAATTTCAGTAGTCGGGCTCTCTCAGGTGCGCGTTTTTACCTGCGACGACCTAAGCCCGCGAAAATTGTTTGGAAAGAAAACGATTAGTCTTATTTTTGCGGAGATGTATGTGCCCTCCTTCTTTGTAGTAAAACCGTACTTTGTGTCACTGTTAAGTGATCTTATAACATGGCAGCAAGTTATGATGTTACGTTATTTGCAGATCTTCGACGGGGAGGTTCCCCTGACTCATGCCACGCTGTTACGATCAGCTGTTCCCTATATCGGTCACGAAATGGATGGAATGCGTCAAAGGCGTGACATTCAAGACAAAAGAGTATCTGGCCATGAATCTGTACTATAGAATCTTCGAAGAAAGCAAGCGATCTTGCCGTTTCACATCAAGCATGAAAGTGAACAGAATATTTAATGAAATGTCCGTCATCCCATGTCATTTAATCAATTTGACATGCAGTGCATCTGTAGATTTCTAATGGAAATCGATTTACAATTTATGTTAAAAAGAATCATAAATTTCTAGTTTTCGATAAGCGACTTGTAGATTACCTTCGTATTCTCAAAAAGTAACGGCATGAAGGAATATTTTACCCTGGCTACCCCCAGGTTGGTTCCTATATAATCCGCCTTGATATTCATAGATATATAGACAGGTAGGTAAATGCATATTATATATATATCCAAATATATATATATATACACACATACATACATACATACACACACACACACACACACACACACACACACACACACACACACATATATATATATATATATATATATATATATATATATATATACATACATATACACACATATGCAATATACATATATATACACATTCATACATACATATATATACTTACATATGTATGTGCGTGTTTGTGTATGTATGCATGTATGTATGTATGTATGAGTCTGTGTGTGTGTTTTTTGTGTGTATATATATATAAATATTCATATACATGTCTGTTTATCTTATCATATATATGAATATATATGCGTGTGTATATACACATATATATGTATATATGTACACACATACACATATATATGCATATATATATATATACACACACACACACACATGTGTGTGTATATGTATGTATTATAAGTCATTAGAAAACCATTATAGAACTTAACACGCTGGTATAGTTTTTAATTACAAGCAGAACATCACCAGAACATACCACAGCGCCGACTGCAACACGGACCACTCTCTTGTGTGTTGCAAAGTCAGAGTGCTGCCAAGAAGATTTTGCCTCATCAAACAAAAAGGAGTGGGCCAAATCGACGTGAGTAAAGCACACCATCCTGAACATTCAGCCACTTTCAACTCCATCTTCACTTCCACATTTAAGGCAACTTACACACTACCAGCCACTGAACAATGGGAGAATGTGAAAAACATCACCTACTCTGCGGCACTCAATTCCTTTGGGAAAGAGAAGAGATCTCAAGTGAATGAGTGGTATTGTCGTGATCAGATTTGCGGACGGAATGACACGCATGAACAATCATATATATATAGAATAGTTAAAAGTAGCGGAACAAAACCAGATCACTGCAAAAGGCGTGATAACCAGGGTGCACGAAAAACGACCAAGATTTAACTGTGACAATGGTGTTAACTAAGCCACAAGTACTTGAGCAGGAAAAAAACTAGTGAACTAGGTAGTGGCTAATTACCGCGAAGGTGAGGATGCGCACCTGGGGGTAGCCCGCCGAGAGACACACTCGAGACAGAGAGAGGGCAGGCTGGGGTTCGCCAAGGCAACACGCTGTC